GCAGAGGGACCACATGACACAGATCCAGATGGAAAAGAGCAGGTAGTCATATCGTCTGGAGCACGGTGGCTTGGCATTCTCTCAGCCACAGCTATAGGAAAATCAAAGAACCAAGAGACCCAAATAAACAAGTGACTAAAACAAGATGGGTGTGGCCTTCACCACCCTCCCTCTGTCTTCTGGTAATGGTGGGAAAATGGAAAGCTAGCTAGATGCCTGAGAGCTACCTAGGTGCTGGTAGTGGGGACCTCCTGGTGACAGACCTCAGAAGCAGCATCTTTGGCATGTCTTCTGCAGAGCACAGCAGTCCTTCAGAGGAAAGAACTTCCTTCTTCGGGCTGCAGAGGGCTGCTGCTGAAGGGGCGCCCTGCAACAACATGAATGTCTAAAGTCACAGGAGTTTCTCCAGTTGCTGCTCTGGTACATGTTTTCCATGTTAAAGTCAACTTAGTAAATAGCATGAGATTGCAGTCTCATGAAACTGAGAACTCTGGTGTGGTTCAAGGCACTGCTTTCAGAATGAAATGGGGACAGTTCCCAGCAAAGACAGCACCCTGCTGAGAACTCCCAGACCTGCACAGGTAGCACCAGGAACTTCAGGGTGGTCTATTATCACTTCATGAAATCAGTCTCTGCTAAGGTAATAGGTTAGCTATTTATATGGGATCGGGTACACATGAGGCTGGCAGCTGAGAGATGACATTACCACAGGCAGGAAAGTGTGGACTCTTTTCTTTTTTATTGCAATTACATATTTCAATTCTGCACAACCGTGCAGTATCTAACAGAGTTAGGAAGGCAAAGTGGAGGTCACTGATCAGCTCAGAGGCAAATTCTTCAGGGGCTGGGGTCAGACACCAACCTGCTGGGGACCAGAGAATGATCCATCTGCTCGTTCAGTTTCACACAGCCACAGAAGACAGGAGCGGGGACCAGCAATGTTCCTGATGCTTCTGTTCATGACAGAGGGCAGAGAGATGCCTTCATATGCTTGGCACATCTGTTATCTGAAAGACCTTTCCTGTCACCCAAGACTGTTTCTGGGAGCCCATAAGTCAGACCATCAGATAATAGATGAGTTGTAAACTGACCCACTCAGGGCTGTGGCAGATGTCAGGGAGAAGACTTTAGGGTGGTGGGGAGCTCAGTTAAAGTCATTTGCTAAATTTGCACACCCCACACATGCTGGGCCATCAATATGCCTGTGGCACAGACAAGGAGTTGGAGTCCTGGAAGGCAGGTCCTGTTTATGAGCCCTAGTCAGTGGCTATCACCTCATGTCCTATGACTCTCAGTGACCACAGCAGGCTCAAGGTCTGCAGGTTCAAGGTCCTCATGGAAGCAGTGAACTGTGGCATGTGACTAACTTCAGAATTCAGTTCTGGTTCCTGACCTGCTGCTGTGTCCACCTCCTGGCCTCTGCCACGGTGCTGGGCACATACACTATTCCCTCTATTGGTGGAACCAGCTCCCTTGACACTTTTGATGGCATGTTCTCCTGCATTGTCCTAAGTTACTTTGATCACTTCTAATGGGCCACACTTTCTGTCTGTTTACTTTCTGATTTGTTTTTGTTTTTCATTTATGTCTCTTCACTTCTTAAGACAGAAATGTTTTGAAAACAAAAATCCAGGAGCTTGGGGTGTAGCTTAGGCTCCCTGCTCAACATGAAGAGGATCTCCTTTTTAGAAAAGACGGGTGGGCTTTCCCTTCTGCTGAGACACATTGCCCACAGCCTTGCTAACCAGCTACTATTGTGGGCAGCAGACAGACTGCATGCTGGGGCAGGAGGAGAAAACAGAGCTCAGGGCTCTTGCCCGAGACAATCCCCACCTTGCTCTTGGTAATTGTTCACTGTGGCCACACACAGCTGAGAGAAGATAGGAATTTCCTTGATGGCCCATAGGGAGTGCTAAATCCAGGGAATGTTTCCTTTTAATTGAACTGTTATACCTTGTCAAGTCCTAAATAATTTTAAATAAGCTGTGTAAGACTTCAGTGCTTTGACTCTCATGTTGAAGAATGTTGTTCTACGCAAGCCAAAAAGAACATGTTTATTAACATGGGCTTGGGGGGCTGGATGGGTACCAGTCTGGCCACTAAAATATGAGAGCATATATTTTATGCTGAGATGCCCCACAATAAAACAGGAGACACAGACAACAGCAACCAAAAGACCTTAAGCTGTCAGATTCCCAGGCACAGACAGACAAACTCCAACCCTGGCAGGAAGCCACATGTTTGTAAAGTGGAATCCAGGAAGGCCATAGTGTTGGGCCCACCCTTCCAGTGATCTGTGTCACAAACCCTACAGGATGGGGGTGGGTATCCTATGCTCTCCAGTATTTTCTCCACAAACTTTAAATTTTTGGTTATGTAATATTGTTTGCTTTTTGGATTGTACAAGAATAAAGAAAAACCAAAAAAAATATAAACTGTACCATGGTCAATGTTCTTAAGGTAGAGTTAAACAATCATAAGTAATCAGTCCTATGACACCAGTATCCAGGATTTTTTCTTCCCTGGGAACCCTGAAAGCCCTAAAACAATCCCCAGATCTCTCCACTCATGCCACCCCACCCCTTGGCCACTCCTTGTCTACTTTTGCATCCATTCTCAGACTTCCCTAGTAGGAACTGCAAAATAAGGGTTGCCTTTTTCAACTGGCTCATTTCATAAAGCCCCATGTCCTCAAGGTCCCGTAACAGTGTTTGTTTCCAACTCCAGGAGCTGCACCCACATACCCCACTGAGGCTTGCCATTGTTCTAAACTACAACACAGTATATACAGCAGGGGCTTACTCCTTTTTAAAAGCAGTACCTGGCTCCCTTTTGAGTGTAAATGCAGACACAGAATGACTCTGCACCTCATTGTGCAAATAGACACCACTACCTGCTGGGAGCTGCAAAGTACCGCGCCCAAAAGATGGCGCCGGTTTCCGCCTTTCGCCAGCCCAACGGCGAGTGCTCTCTGTGGTAAACAACTCCTAATTTGGTAAAGGCCATGTATCATCTTAATTCTGCTTGGAGACAACCTATCCTGGCGCACCACGTAGGGTTATGTGATTGGTAGATGTAGACTATATCAGGCCCCGTCTTCCTCTGCCCGGGGCCACCATTTCACTGTAAAGCAAGGTTCCCGAATAAACTGTGTGAAGAAGATTCCTTGGTGTTGCGTCGTTCTTGCTGGTCAAGGATGGACGCAACAACTACCTACTGGTCTGGTGTCATCATAACTGATACATGGCTTATTCCTAAATGTAACAGGATGTCACTGGGAAACTTGTCAAGGCAGTTTGGCAGCAAATGAGCACATGGGTGAATCCCAACCATATCAGGAAAAGGCCCAAGAAGTGATTTCCATGGCTAAGCAAGTAAAAACTATTGCCATGCAAGCCTGATGACTTGAGTTCAAACCCCAGAACCCATGAAAAACCAGGCACAGTAACTTGTATCTGTGATGCCAGCACTCCTAAGGCAAAGACGGAAGGTGGAGATGAAGAATCAATGAAGCCTGCAGACCTGCTAGACTGGATACAGAGTGTTAGAAACAAGATAGTGCTGTGTCAGTAAGGTGAAAGAAGGAACCCACTTCTCAACATTGTCATTTGAACTCCACACCTATACCAGGGCTTTCAAGTGCCCACACTTACATAGACATCTGGGTCACAAACCCTACAGGATGGGGGTGGGTATCCTATGCTCCACACACACACACACACACACACACACACACACACACACACAAAATAGTAATGATAATAATACTAAAGAACTGGTCTCTGTGAGATATGCATAATTTATTTTAAAAAGTGTGAGGGGAAATAAGAGAGAGAGAGAGAGAGAGAGAGAGAGAGAGAGAGAGAGATGAACAAAAAAGGAAGCAAGCCAGCCAGCCTAGAACTTACAAAATACACTAGATTGAGCAAGGTTTCAACATTCTTACCTGGACTCTACTAAGGAAAAGGAAGCCAACACTGCAATGGGGACACCCTCCCTGCTGTCTGACTACCCAGTGTGAGTGAGCATCAAGGAACTGATGGACAGAGAGCTCCTGACTGTCCTCAGGGATTTAGTCTACCTTGGTCTCCACCATAGCTGAGGCAAGCTTCCATCTCTCTGGATCCTGTTACAGACCTTGCCCATAGCTTCCACAGCCCTGAACTCCTGCAGCTGAACTTAGTTCTGAGTCTGGACAGCCCTGTCATCCTGCAGCTGTGCTAAGAGGTAATACCACCAGTGACTCTCCACCTGGCATCATGATCTAATTAACCCCTAAAAGCCTTCTGCCTATCTCTGGTGAGGCCTCCCTGACGTCCTTGAGCCACACTGCAGCCCTTTTAATCATCTATAGCCATTCTATGACCTACATGTGTGTATGCACATATAATTACTGTGCTATGGGCAACACATGATCCAGGAGTTAATATTAGTAATTGAGATTGGAGTAGAAGAACTGTGTTTGCCTCAGCCAGCTTTCAAGGCAAATCAGCACTGCGGAGCAGACTGCAGCCATCAAAACCAACTCAGCTCATGAATGTGTTATTACTCAGAGAATTTAGTATTGTGGAAAGGTGCAAAGTATCTGTCCATCTGTGTTTCTGGCATAGCATGCTTATGACTAGAGTTTACAATAGTGACGTGAGGACTCATACCTGACACCACCTTATATGACTCCCAACATTTGGGTTAAGTTTACTTATACAACCTTGTCTAACAATAATAATAACTATTTATACATATGTGCATATAAATATGTATGTACATATAGATATATACATGCATATACATATGCACATACACATACACATACACATACACATACATATACATATACATATACATACACACGTATTCTTTTCCCCTTCAGTGTTGAGAGGCTCAAATCTTCTTTGGGGTGGTAGAACAGACCCTGCTGTTAAGCATCTGAGATGTTCTCCATGATTCCCATGCAGTCCATATACTCAGAAATGCCAGACTCCCTGGTTTCCTTGACCTACCTGTCAGTACCGTCATCCCAGTGTGGAGGAGCTCGTGTTTCTCTGATAATAGCAATTAGCCTCCCTTCTTGACTTGTGTTCAAAATGTTCTATAAGGAAAACAGTAAAACTGTGAGAACACTGGGCGAAGGAGCATTATTTATCATAAAAGAGCAGCTTCAACCCCTGCGTGTCAGGCACTGTCCTTCTTCCCAGAGAGAGCAGTGAGGAGGACAGACGGATGTACTCTGCTTCCTCAGTGTGGGAGGGAAGCTGTGGAGCTAAATGGAAAGCTGGCTGTGGGAGGCTGGGGTGAGGGGAGGGAGCCCATCTGGATTGGAGAAGATGGTGGCATGCCTCAGTGTGGCCTGGGAGTTGGGGTGGACAGGTGTTGGTTAAATTAGAACAGATAGAAGTCAGAATTCCATGGTAAGTCCAAGGTGTGTGTGGGGGATGCTTAAAGTAGAACATAGGGCAGGGGGCATAGGGGTAGGAGAGAGGGTGCCTAGAACCTAGATGGGCCATGAGACGACCCAAAGGCTTTGCCAACTACACTTTGACCCATGCAGACCTCCTTGAGACAAAAGCCTCGATTCCTGTGTGACTTGAACAGCAGGGCTGAAAATCAGGAGGAAGTCCCTACCCAAAGCTGGCCAGCCACCTCAAGTCCCCACACTTGAGCAACAAGTGATTTTGGGTTGGATTGCTTGTCTGTTTTCATTTCTTGTCTGAAGGCAGGCCACTTCACGTTGCTTTGTTCTGGAACCTCTCTCCCACTGTGCCCCACTCCTGATAAGGCAATTACCCCTCCATCTTTATCCTTGTGTCTTCTTTCTCACTATAACTGTGAGTGTTGTCCCATCTCTAGGACTTCAGGCTCCATCTCTGTTTGCCCTCAGTGAACTCATGCACCTCCAGGTAGACAGTAGTTCTTTAGTAGAGGCTGTCAAAGAGCTTCCATGCCCACTAAGAAAAATGCTGTTCTACACTGGAACTATGGTGGAGGCAACCCCCCCACACACATGAGGGACAGCTGACTGAGGGGCAGTACCACTCCTCATTTAAGGAGTACCATGCCCCACCTGAGGGCAGTCTTACCCCCACTCCTGAGGAGAGCTATCATTTCCCTACCCAAGGGCCACTCTCATCCTCCAACTGAGGGGTAGCCCACACCCCACCACTACCCAAAGGATGGCCCCACACCATTCCAACTGGAAGGACAGCCCCATCTCCACTTGCAGGGAAGTCCCATCCTTTTACACCCAAAAGACAGCCCCAGTCCCCATCTGAGGAGTAGCCCTCCCATACCATTTGCCTGGGCTGAGGCACAGACTCCTCTGCCTTCTTGTCTTTCCCATGACAGAATGAAGGCTTTAAAACTTAAGTTTGCACTACCTCTGCTCAAGCATACATGCTGTGACAGTGACCTGAGAAGTCAAGGCAGGGGCATTTGAAGCTGTAACCCCCCTACACACACACACACACACACACACACACACACACACACAGAGAGAGAGAGAGAGAGAGAGAGAGAGAGAGAGAGAGAGAGAGAAAGAGAGAGAGAGAGGCACACATAGGCACATACGCATACACACCACACGTGCAGTTGTTCTCAGAAGGAAAGGCCTAAGTGGCCCAGTGTAAAGTGCACCTGGTCCCAGGGAGCCGGTGAAGATGTCTTCTGTGACTGTGTGTCTCCTGCTGTCCCTTTTGGAGCATATGAAGGACAGCTGCCATGCTCATCACTCACACAGAGCTCTGGGTTAGTCTGGATTGCTAGAGAAGGAGAAACATACATTCTGAGGTTGGCCACTTGCCAAAAGATGAAAGCAGAAACAGAAAAGTCCTGGCTAGAACACTGGGACCCTATGAAAATACCCATCCTCAGGATGGTGTCCTGTGGTTTTGTCTTTGTTCTCCTTGTCTGAGAGGGCTTGGGTGAGAACCCACCCGGCAGTGTGCAGAAAGGAATGCACGGCCCTGGTCACAATGGAGAAGGGCACGATGATGGATGGCAGCACAGTGTTGCTCTATATGAGGCTGAAAGCTCTAAGTGCCTTTTACTGAAGCTGCTATTTGGGCCAGCTTTCTCTCACAGGCAGGAGGTTGAGGCTTGAGAGCTGAAGGCTGCTGTGGGCAGAGCAGTAGGTTTTAAGAAAGCCAAGTCAGAAGAGGACGAGGTCATTCCCACAGGGACCTTGCTTCAAACCCCATAGTTATTTCGGCACCTTTGGGCAAGAAGGGAGACAGTCAGTGTCCCCAAGCTTTCAAATTTCTAGAGCAATGTCAAATCTAATTTAAATATTTTGGTTGATCACAATCAAGAGTCCAGTATATTAATATGAGCTGAAGGGAGATAACCTCTGTCTTGACACCAAATATTCTAATGAGTATATGTAGAGTGAGGCTCAGCTGCCAACCATGCCGGAAACTCAGGTGTGAAAGAATTGTGTGGTGTGTGTGTGTGTGTGTGTGTGTGTGTGTGTGTGTATTTATATGGGTGGGGTTTTTTTTTTTTTTTGCTTGCACACATTTCTATGCACTATTTTTTTTTTAAAGATTTATTATGTATACAGTGTTCTGTCCAGAAGAGGGCACCAGATCTCATTGTAGATGGTTCTGAGTCACCATGTGGTTGCTGGGAATTGAACTCAGAACTTCTGGAAGAGCAACCAGTGCTCTTAACCCTGAGCCATCTATCCAGCCCTGACCTGAAAAGAGTTTCATGAACTTCTCACATCCACAGAGAAAATATTTATAAAACTGCACTGAGCCAGGAGAGTAAAATGCCTCGTTTCTCTGATGACACCACATTACTTTGCTACAACAGGTGAAGAAAGGACTGCCCTGTTCTCAGTGGCGGCTATACAATTCACTGACATGGAGAACTTTAAAAACAACGATTTTTACATTTTGAGACAAAATGCCCCAGACACTTCAGCTCTTCTCAGGCAGCTGTAGAGCAAAATCTCTGCATTTTTTTTCTGTCTTTTAGAAACACAATGGAATTCCAACATGAACATTTTTTTTGTAAGAACAGTGTGACATTCTTATCAAGGACAGGAAGTTGAAGCCAGAGGAATTCATTGTTAAACTAATGCTTATCTTCCTAGCTGCTCCTCTACCTGATAAACTTGTAGAACCAAGGCCTTGACCTATCCCAGTCTCATGGCTTGTGGTGACCTAACTCAGGACTAAGTGGTAGTCTCCAACTATGCCTCTTCATCTTCATTTCCTTTCCCCAGAAAGGCTTCTGAGCCACAAAACTTGATGAGATCTGTATGCTTCCCCTCGGTTCATCTGTCACATGATATTTTACCTGTGGACCCAGCAGGGGCCCTTTGAGAACAGACATGAAGTTTGTTGCTTCTATACCTTTAACCTGTATTTGTTAATGGGTGAACACAAAGGCTGGGGATCCAACAAGGGCTCCAAACCACGAGGCTGCCTCCTACTTGATAGGATGCTGAACAGATGTGTGGAGTAAAACACTGTCAACACGTGGGTTTCCTGTGGCCTGGCTGTGGTGGCTTTGCCCTTTCCTGAGTCCTTACCAACTGGCACTCCACAGCAGAAGGTTCTGAGACTGCAGCCACAAAGTCGAAGACAACCTGTCTCCCCAGCCCCAGTTGGGGTCTCATCACGTGAGGAAAGAGAACAAATGAGATGGAAACACCTGTGGATGGGAATAAATAAATAAACTGCCACGAAGCATGGCCACTCTGTGCTACTCCTCATCTATGCCTGTATTTCTGTCACAAATCCATCTGGCACAGTGTGACTGTCACACAAGCAAAGAGTAACTCACTTCTGTGGCTTTTGCACTTTGGTTTCAAATTTGGAGGCTGTTTCTAGTTAACTAAACTCAAGTCCCATCAGGTTCTTGTAGAAGCCTGGATCTGTCTTCCTGCTCAGGAGGAAGGAGCTGACACTGAAGTTCAGTCCTGGGCTCTGGGACTTGTCCTCTGCAACCCACTTCCGGCCTCACTGGCTGTTCTCCAGTCCTCATAACCATGCTCTGTAGAGAACCACTGAGATTCAGTCACCTACATGAACTGTGCACTACTGTTATCTTCTAGTTTAGTCTCTCCAGGGAAACACAGGTCAGGCTGTGGCTCCCCAAGGTCTGGATGTCAGGAGCTTGGTCCCCAGAGTGGTGTTAGCAGGAGGTGTTGGGACCTTTAAGAAGTAGATTCCAGGGAGACCAGCTCTCCCAGGAGGATGGTGGGACCTTAGACCCTCGTCCTCCACCTCTAGGTGGTGACTGATGGTTTTGCTCTATCACATACTCTGCGGATCTAAAGCAACAAGGCCAACTCACTGTGGGCTCTAACAGTCCAAGCCACGATCCAGACACATCTTTGGTCACTGTTAGGGGATTGTCTAAGGTTTCAGCAAACACAGGGGGGGTCATATACAATTACTTTGTATGGTGATGTTAGACCCCCGGAAAAACTCAGGTATCTGGGATCCCAGGCCACGACCGTGGTCACCCCAATCACCAGGCAGATTCGAGAGCTTGATGCAAACTGCACAAGGCTTTATTGTAATTTAACGAGCTAACCCCATGTTAGCTCGGGTCTTTCACCTACCTGCCATGGCAGATGGCTAGCAAAGACCCCTCGAACTGGCTGCTGAGCGATCTTGTAGGGCAGCATAAGGGGAGTGTCTAGGGGTACACACAGGCTCAGGATTGGTGTGCCTCCAGGCTTGGAGGGCTTGCCCTGTGTTGATTGGCCAATTGGTTGTTATGGCCCATAGGCCCTCCCAGGGCGGTTGCTATGTTCTGTGCGTCATTGCTGTGCGCTTGTCCGTAAAGTACACCCAGAGTTGTAAAGCATAGCACCACCAGCTAACTTCTGATTGGTTCCTTGTCATGAGGCAGGCACCTAACCTCTAGTGACTGAGGCAAGGTCATAGCGAGCACGTGTTACTGTCATGGCTGCTGAAAGGGGGGCTGGTCCCTTCAGTGAGATCATGGAAGTTGAGGGAAAAGGTTAACTTGGAAACGTTGGCATCGTTTAGCAAGTTGAGGCA